TGTTTTATTAAACAAAAGCCTCTCTCTGGAGAGGTTTGATGGTGCCGCAGTGTCTTGGGTTTGCTGCAGCAGGGTATCATGACAGAGCTGAACACAAGACTGCTCTGAAGGGATGAGGGCAAGTGCAATCCAGGTCTCAGCATGGCTTTAACCCGGTCAGAATTAGCACGGCTTTAATCCACTCATCCTCTGGCCATCTATTCTTAGGAAATATATAAAGCTTGGAATACAAATACCCCTATGTGGCCTCCAAGCTGAGCCACCAACATGGGAGCGCCAGCTCCTCTCTGTGAAGGTCTCACAGCATGTGGCTGTGGGACAGGGGGAATAAAGATCATGGATGGGTGGCTGGCAGTGACTTGCCCTGGTCCTGAGCTGTGCTAAATTGGTGCTTGAGCCCAGCCATTGACCTGGGCAAATAATTGTGCTATTTTCTAATTTGATGGTTGAACAGGGAGTAAAGAGAGTGAAAAGCAGTTTATGCCACCTCAAACTGGGAATTTTCAGTGTGTTTGGGGATAGAAAATAAAAGCATTTCTTTTTGGAAGAATGGAATTTCATGTTTGGGATTTGGGGGGAAATTTAAAGAATAATCAAAAAAGTTTTCAATTTTCAGAAGACCACTTTTGAGGCCAACAAATCTGTTGGATTCCACAGAAAAATGCACCAGTCCCAGAACTGTGTTTTTAATCACTAATTCAAAACACTCTCCCAGCTTTACTCAGGACCCTGGGCCTGGGTTAACGCTAGAGTTTATCCAACTGCAGCATCTTCCAGCTTCCTGCCATGGGGGCCAGAGGCCGCCAGGACCTGGCTGCTTGGCCAAGGTGGCAACTGCTCCTGGGAATGGCAAGTCTGACCCCATCCCCATTCTAGATGGGTATTCTTGCTCACGGGGTATTTGATTTTTCTGTCCTTATGGTACAATACAGCAATGGTTATGGCTGCCCAGCAAAACCCAGTGAGAGGAATCACCTTGGAAGGTGGCATGTGTGAACAGATTAGATTTAACTTGCTGGACAGAGAAGCATCACACAGGCAGCAGATACATGTGGAAAGGATCAGCTCGCTTTGCATAATAGCATTTCCTTCCTCCGCTCGCCTCGCATGCTGCCTTGCAGCACGGCTGCACACTGAGATTTCATGTAATTTTGTTTTAGTGCAGAATTTAATGTTAAGTTTAAATATGTAATTATCTTTAATTGAAATTACATCCATGCTTTTCATTAACAAGATGCAAAGAGTGAGCAGTATAACGCAGAGAGATGTGAGATCCAGGCTGCACGGCGCACCCGGACCCGGCTGAGGAGAAGACATGGGTGAAGTCCCATTAACTCTCCTAAGAAGTTCCTCAGATGGGTCCTGGTGCAGGGGGCTGGTGGAGCCCCTCTCCCTGGCCACAGCCTTAGATATACCCCAGCACTAATCCCTGTGTGTGCAGCGGCTTGTGCCCCCCTCCTGCTGCACCCCAAGGTGCCCCTGGCCAGTCCCTGTGGGTGCTCCTGCTGCTGCCCACTGCAGCCACAGGGATCCCAGCTCGGTCTCTCCCTTTGCCCCACCAGAGGATGAAGCACAAGGACACACACTGCAGCTGCTCTGGGGGCTGGTGGGACACTGGTCCTTCCAGTGAACCCATTGGTCATGGCAAGGAAAAGCCCATGGGGACATTGCTTAGTGTTACTCTGCATGTGTACCCACACATCTCCAGTGCCTAAAGGGGCCAACAAGAAACCTGGAGAGGGGCTTTTGACAAGGGCCTGTAAGGATAGAATGAGGGGAAATGGCTTTAAACTGAAAGAGGGGAGATTGAGATGAGCTCTTAGGCAGAAGCTCTTCCCTGTGAGGGTGCTGAGGTGCTGGCACAGGGTGCCCAGAGAAGCTGTGGCTGCCCCATCCCTGGCAGTGTTCAAGGCCAGGTTGGACACAGGGGCTTGGAGCAAGCTGCTCTAGTGGAAGGGGTCCCTGCCCGTGGCAGGGGTTGGGACTGGATGAGCTTTAAGGTCTGTTCCAACCCAAACTATTCCATGGTTCTATGAAATGTCACAACTGAAAAGGAAATGCATTGCAGGATGTATTGCATTTATTACACCTGCTCACCTGTAATCGCTATCCTCAAAATCCACCACAGAATCAGAGAATGGTTTGGGCTAGAAAGGACCTGAAAGCTCATCCAGTTCCAATCCATCTTCTCACGTGTAAGAGATTAAACCAAACCCAAACCCAAACCCTGGTTGCAGAAGCTGCTTTGCCACCCTCATCCACGCCATGTAAACCTCCTCGAGAAAAAAGCCCTGCCGAATGAAGGGCTCCTCTGTGCCTATGGAGTTTGTTCACAAGTTCCTCGCAGAGGAACGGGGTGCGTGATTTGAGCGGCAGGGCACAGCGAAGCCTGCTTCCCTTCGAGCTCTGCGACGGGCGCCGGGTCACCCCCCGGCTGCGAGCGAGCCTGCGGAGCGGCGCGGAGCAGCGCGGCGGCTGCGGTCACCAGGGGGTAGCATTGGTTCGGCGCTGCGCTCCTGCCGCGGCTGCGGCGGCTCCGGCAGCGCCCAGGGCCGGGCGGCCCCTCTGGGAGCGGTGCGTTTGCGGAGTCGGTCCTTCCCAGCCCTAGAGGTCAGCGATTCCAGCGGGCGCTAAACGAACCCAGCCCGACGGCGCTGTTTCAATCGTCTGGTGGCTCTTCTGCAAACCAGCCGGGTCCTTTCAGAGCCTCGTACTTCCTTCAGAGCTGCGCTCCTGGCGGCTTTGCTCCCCCGGGGCATGCACCAGCGCACCTAAACCCGAGAGTGGTCCATGTTGTATTTATTCTGCACTTTTACAGGTCCAGTGTGGTAATCCAGGTCCTCACCCTGGCGCTGGCTGAAGGGGGATGCAGGGGAACCAGTCTCTAGCCCAGTGCTGGCTGTTATCACTTGGGAGCCCTGGTTTCTGTGAAGAAAAGGCTTGTCAGAGCCGTATCTCAGCAGCCAGTGCTTGCCACAGACCTTGGTTCAGGCTGGGAAAAGCATTCTACATTTTTGATGTAATGTTTCCTAATGTTTCACCCAACAACCCATAAATTTCCCAAGAACAAGCTATAAAGGGTTTGTTTGAGGAGAAAAGGACAGATTGCTACAGGCTGTAACTGCAGAGTGAAAGAGAGGCCTTTAAAGAAGCTCTTGACAAACAGCAAAAGAAGTGATGCACACACAGAGAACTACTCATCCTCTCCCCACCCCTGCATCCAAACCTGCCCCCTCTCCCAGAGGCCATGGGGATTGACCCTGGGTCTGCACCAGTCCCTCTGACAGCGACAGCACTTGGACATATTCAAGGTACAAATCAGGGCATGAACACTTGAGAGTAGCTTCCTGAGCATAGAGCAGAGCACAGCACCTTGCTGGGGCAGTGGAGCCAAGGACACTTCTTACTCCACCTAAGCAGCTACATTTAAATTCCCCTAAACAATTACTTTAAAAGCAAGGAGAAGGACCTTGCTGTGTGCGAATGATTGCATTGCTCGCTGACCGTGCTCCGTGAACTCAGGCCTTTGTTGCCACCAAAGCAGTTTCTGTACCTTTTTGCACGCATAGTTCCTGTGGATTTATACTAAATGCTCTTCAGACTTGTTAGTAACAGTCAGCAAGACAATCAGCACATGCTAAAGTCCTGCTCTGACAGTGCAATCAATTAAATATCAATTAATCAGTTAATCAGTATAGAGGATACACAGAACAATGCTGGTGATGGCTAGTTTCTAACACTGAGTATTTCATGCTAGTTCCACACATGTAGCTGACAGGTACATTATTTTGGGGGGATGGACTTTCAGGCAGTGGGATTTCCAGTCTGCAGGGCAAATGCTTCCCCAGACATGCTCATTAGAACAGCTCAATAACTCCCTTCCTCCACATCCCCTGTGTTTGCATCTTCTGCCATGGTCATTTTCAGCCAATATCCTCACAAGGGAAATTTAGTAATGCTCCTGAAAAGCACTTCTGAAACTCAAATGCTCAAATATCCCCAATAACTGCATGAAAGATCATCAGTATAAAGCTGATATTCAGATGTATAATTACTATGCTCTCTCCTTGTTGCTACCTATATGAGACAGGAGGAATGAGAAACAAACCATGCATCCTGCATAACTCAACACTAGTCAGGAATTCCCACTGCTGACCTCAGGCTTTCCTGCCCTGTAGAGCCAAGGCTTTATCAGAGCAGAACATCACAGAGAGAAAAAATATGTTCAAGAATTTAGGGATTTGCTTCTAAATAGGAAGAAACTAAATTAGCCGTGGAAGCTGTCAGAAATTCCTTTTCCAGCTGTGGAGATAGGAAAGATGCCAGGATCCTGGCGTACCAGAGGTCGGCAATCTCCAGGACTCTGGCTGATACGTGTTTCCCACATGCTCTGCAGAGCTGAAGGGATCCAGCAACCTCCATCACAGCCACCCCAGCATCCCGCTGCCCTTTTCCTCTTGGAGATGCACTCTGGCCCTGGGAGAAGCTACCCCAGGGGTCAGTGCTGCATCTCCCTCTGCCCTTGGGACCCTGGTGCCAGCGGTTATGTGAAGCAGGTCCTTGGCACTGACATTTGCAGCACCGGTGCTTCGGCGCTGAGGAAGCTGCTTGAACAGTTCTATTTCTAGAGCACTCCTTACTGCTCCTCCTTCCTTTCTCCTCTGGTCTGTTGCCCCGTCTGCACCCTTTTGCCCTATGAATCCCCAGTACTTCTCAGGGTAAAGCCAGGATAGGTGGCCCCAGAGACCTTTTCACCTTGGGGACGTCCTGCCTATGCCTTAACCTGATTTGGATGTGTCTGTGATGTGAGTGATACACCTACCCAGAGCCTGAGACCTCCAGAAGCCACTGCTCGTTTCCATAGACCCCCATAAATGGATAACTGGCTCTTTTAATCTTGTTACTAAATTGTAATGGAATTATCCCTCTAATCCTTTGGAGCAAGAGCAGAACTCAGCCACCAATATAAAATTAAAAAAACCCCAACCCTGCAGTAAGCATAGATTTTAAAAGTATTTATTTTGTGCCGCTCTCAGATAGGCTGTGTATAAAATTTTATTTCAGAGGAATAATGCCATGTAGTGCACTTTGTGGCTGCTCTGTGATTAAGTCCTTTTTAATCTGCTGTGTAGGGTGAGGTGCAGCGCTTTCCCAGCACAGCTCCCTCCATGCCAGACTCTCTATTAATGGGGTTACCGGCTTATCGGAAAGAGGCGGAATTACCCAGCTACAGGAGGTTTTTACTCTGATCTGCTTAGAAACCCGGGCCATGTCAGGGCAGGGAGGGCTCAGGGGAGTTAAGCCTGTTTCTTCCTCGGGACCATGTGCCCCTCACTGCTCTATTTTTCTTGCAAGGAACTTTCTAGCTGGTAAATCTGTTTAGAACAATTGGTTCCTGCTGCTGCTCTGTCTGTCTGCCTCACAATGGGCAGCAATGGGATGCTGCCAGGACGAGCAGCTCACCCTGCTGACTCTGGGATAGGAAGGCAAAGACAGAGCCAGCAGACAGGTCAGCAAGTGCCCAGTACCTGAGGCTGACGGGACACAGTTGTAGTGAGCACAGAAAAAGCATCTTTGATGGAATTAATCACTGGCAATAGGATGGGCAAATGCAGTTGGCTCTGGAGCCCCGGGTACCTGGTGCCATCAGGAAAAGGCAGCTGGTGCTGCCACAGTGCAGTGCACGAAGCCATCCCTGCTTGTAACCCTGCTGCAGCATCCTCCTCCTAGCCAGCAGTTTGCAGTAACAGGTCCTGTTCCTTTCCAACCACAGCTCCCAACTCTTGACTCTCAGAGGTGGTGGCGTAGCAGGGATGGGGACTGGGGCAGCAGAGGCTGCGCCCAGGACAAGCAGAGCATGGCAAGATGGGCTTTTCTTCACACAGGACAAGCCCAAAGCTGTGGGGGCACAAGGAAAATAATTTGGCTGATGCAAAAGCAACCTCTGGAAACAGATGGCGTTATGGACAGAAACAGGTCCCTGCCTTTGCAGGGGCTCGTAGCAGCGTTTGTATGATGTAAAGGAAGAAACATCAGCACGAGGGACCTGAGGTCCTGGTTTGCTGTGCGCCTGGCGCGTGGGGTGAGGCAGGGAGCGGGTTAGGGATGCGCTAGCATCTTGTCACAAAGCATTTGCTGACCTTTCTGTAACTATTTCTCAGAAAAGGCTAAAAGCCCGGGTCAGTTCAGAGGGTGCTGTGCTGTGATCAGCACTTTGCCTGGGGCCGCGGCCACGGCTGCCGTTGACAAATAGCACTTGACCCGAGCCACTGCGGGCGCAGGCAGCCACACGGCGCGGGGCAAGCGCGGCCCCACAGCACATCGCCAGCTTCACCGAGCCTGCTGCTTAACGCCGTCCCTTCCTGCAGCAGGCAGATGATGGGTTAGGGAACAGAATGCAGTTTTCTCCTTAACAAAGTGAACGCTGCAGAGCACAAGGCATGTACAAAAGACTGCTTCTCACCTGATGACTTTGCCTGGAGTTTGTACCCCCAGATTAAAGAGGCTTCATGCATTCACTTCGCAAATAGCAAAAATGAAATGGAAAGAGCTTCGCGTAAGGTTGTATCATCTGACTTAAAGCAACATTACAGGTGGGCAAAAAGAAGAAGGGTTTCACAAGGATGTTTCTAAATGTGAAGTGTAGTCCTTTTGTTGTTTGATGGCAAAACCACTGCATGGAAATTAAAGCAGTGAAGTCTCACAGACCAGACCCCTGCAAATACTGTACCGCTAAATACAAAAAACACCCCACAAACACCATTTGCTGAAGGAGGCACTGTGACTGGCAAGCTGTTTTTATCAGTTCTACCAGTCCATGCCTGGTTTCTTACATTGATGTAATTCTGGATCACATTGGACCAGCTTGCACTGAGGAAAAGGAAACCGATGCGATGGAACCTGGTAGCAAATGTTCGCAACAGCATTTGAGCTGCACTAGACCAGTTGGGCCACGTCTGTGAGGGGGCAGTCCAGGGGCAAGGAGACGAGGGGAAGACTTGCTGCACAGCCAGCCTTCAACATGCTTCCCTTTGCATGCCAAGTACCTGGCATGCCAGTGCTTTCCTGAGCTATCTTCCGTTCCCACTCTGACCCAAATGCTGCCTGCACCGTGCATGACTGCTCCCTGCTCGCGCCCACCTCCGGCACAATCGCTGCCCGCTGACATCCTCCCCCTGCTTCCCAGAGACACAGAGAGGGAATCTGCTGAAGGTGATGTCAGACGTTCAACACCCCCGTGGCATCCAAAACGCTTGGGAAGGAAACACTTGGGAGGCTGGCATGAGCATCGAGGGCTCAGCATGCCTCCATGCACCGACACAGACAGCCCCGCGCGCGGTGCTTGTTCCATTACGCGTGTGCACAGGAATGTGTGTGCATGTGTGCGTGGGAATGCCTGAGGCCCCCAGCCTGCAAAGATTTATGTACATGCTTAACTCTTAGCAGATGAGAAATCCCACTGAGACTATACATGTGCTACAGGTTAAAGACAGGCATAAAGCTTTGAAGAGTCTAAATCTTAGATTATAAAGATTATAAATTTTAGGAGGACGAGGACAGCTGATGTCTGTGCAGCTTGTCCTGCAGTCAAGGGGTGAGCTTCTGCCTGCAGTTGCCCTACCTCACCTTAGTCCTGTTGGTTGGTATCAGCACAAAAGGAGTGGAATGGTGTGCAGCCCCTCTGAGTGCCAAGCATGGCTTGGGGAGGATCTGGCAGGTCAGTGGTCATGGTGTGGGCATCAGGGGAGCACATTTCTCAATGCACTAGCTCCAACAGTTCAAAAGAAGAGAATGCGATGAGAAACAGATGATACATCCATTCTTCTTTCGGCACCAGAGCTCCTACACTCATCAACAGCACCATGGAGTGAGTCACAGGCTGCTGGCAATGCTTGCACAAGGAAACCAGTGGATCCAGGGGCTCCTCATGAGCATCAGCCCCTCTTCTGCCTTAGCAAGACCTTGAGGAGCTGATGCAGGAAGAGCCAAGTACAGAAAATGGGGATGTCTGAGCCTTGTCAGGGCATCCACACTGGTGATGGGCAGCAGAGCCTCTGGTGCAGGTCTAGGGGTCCAGGGGTCCTTGCTTACCCCATCACAGGGAACAATGCAGCACGCAGGTGGCACCAGCCATCCAGCTTTACTTGGTGTAATTGCAAAGGGACAGGGCAAGAGGAAGCTACTTCCTGCTACTCTGTATTTTTAATTCATATTTTCACAGCTCTGCCTGCCCTAAATCCCAAGCAGATGGTGCAGCTCAGCCCATCTCCTACAGCAAGGATGATCCCCGGGGCCTCCCTGCAGAGAGTGTACATTTCAAAGGATAATTCCGTGAGCACTTCTTACCCTGATCCGGAGCCTTCTGAGCATCCATATAGTTCATCACTCTTCACACAGGTCTGCCCCTGCCGCGTGCCAGCTCCCACTGGTGTTTCCTTTTCCCTATTGAAAGGTGAGCAGAGTCACAAGGACTCAGATGTGGCCTTGGAAGCAAAGGGAGCTGTGAAATGCAAAAGGCACAAGTGAGAAACGGGAAGGAAAACAAAGAGAAAAGGAGGAAAATTTTGGTATTATTTCTTTGATTTACGCTACAAAAATAGGAACCATCCCCACACCTTCCACATGTGGAGGCGACCCCAACCTCGGCTGAAGCAGCAGCAAGGGAAACCCCTTTACAAAGCAGCCCCTTCCCTGCAGCACCTTTTTGTGCTCGGGAAGCATTTCTGCACTAACAAATCCCCTTTGATAATTGTGTTGCAAAAGCCTCACTCTGAATATTTAATAGAATTATTGCTAGTTATCAGCACAAGTAGGCGATAAATCACAGGCCGCCTTTACCCAACAGCAGGCAGAGCCATTAGGGGGTTTCGATCACAGTTCCCACCATGCCCCCTGTGTCAGAATGACCATGAATTAAAAGGGAAAACAAACAAACAACATCCCCCCCCCCTCAAAGGAAGGGTTCAATTCCTTCGACAGACACAGCAGCTCTTTCAAGCTGTGGCCTGAGCCCCACTGTCCCTATGTGCCACAAGCCCAACTTTCGGGTGCCACCGCCGCAGCAGAACCCTCTGGCTCTGCCCCCCCTTTGCCGTGTAGGAACGAGGTGATCTTTTAGCTGCCCTTTGTCTTGGAAAAAGAATTAATTCTCATTTGCATTACCTCAACTAAATGTCACCCACCGATATTTTGTTAGACATTAGCAGCGCTGGCAGAGAGGGGCACGGGATAATTGCGTTCTGCCTAGCGCTGGGATTTACATAATTTCAGACAGCAATTAAAGAATCCCTGGGAATTATTTTTTTCCCCCCCCTTCCTCCCTCTTCCAACCTCTCCTACAAAGAAAGTGTTCGTTTACATTAAGCACTCAGCTCCTCGCTGTTCATTTGCATAAAATTAAAGGTTTTTGTGCTCGGGAACAGCAGGGTAACATTTAAAATTCCCTTTCAAAAAGCTCACCTTAGAATAATAAAACGTTAATATCATTTCACGGGCTGGAGAAGGTTGCCAGCTGCCTTTCACTTCAAACTTTTACCCAATACTAACTGTTTGGGTGGGTGAAGTGAGGATGGTTTTGCTTGGTGGGGTTAAGATATAAACTTTGTTGAAGAAGTGCAGGGATGGAAATGTGCTCACCGATGGGTCTCTGCAGGGCTACTCCAGAGCAGAATGTTTGTTTACTCCATAGTTTTTTAATTAAAAAATCATGCAAAAGAGCAGCAGCGGAATATTACCGGCTTTAATGTGCCGTCATACTCCAGGCTGCGAGAGGAAATGCAATTTGGATCACACCCCTTTCATTTGCTTTCATGGAGATGGAAGCAACGCTCCAGCACAAGTCTGCAACGTGAGATAACTTCCACTCTGAGACTGCATTTCCATGCCCAGAGCAGGGCATGGTGCAGGCAGGGAGGCAGGAGGAACAGGCAGCAAAGGTGGCATCACCCAAGGCTGAATGAAGCTCTCCCAGCCATCAGCTGCCTTTATTCTGAGCTCTCTATCAGTACTGAATAATAAAAAATGACATTTCCATTTGAGGATGACACTGCTGAGGGTCCCTGAATGACCTTTCCTATATCACCAGGGTCCCTCGTGCCTGAGAAGAGTTGTCAGCAGCATTGTCCATCCCATGTGCTAAGGGCAGAGCCCCCAGGATGGGGAGGACAGGCTCTGCAGGTATCCAACACGACTGCAGCCAGGTGAGGAACAACCCTCCTGGGATCCAAGCATCCTCCAGGTCACCAGGATAGGGTCCTGCGTGGCACTGGGGGGAGGCAAACTAACCCAGGTTGAGATGCCCCCTGCTTGAAGGCAGGGTGTCCAAAGTACCCTCTTAGTCTCTACCCGGACCCCTGGGTGCCAGCCTGGGTGCAGGACCACAGCAGACAGAGGGTGAGAGGCATGGGGCTGCCCTGTCCTCTGGCTTTTGTGGGGTCCTCACAGCACCCACCCTCTCCCTTCCTCAGCTTTATGTTGCTCACCAGCACTGACACTGCTCCTCTGCAGCCGCCACCAGCCCTCACCCCATCCCACAGCATCCCTCCCCACTGCCCCTATCGCTATTCCACCTCACAGCCATGGTTAGGGGGCTCCCCTTACAGAGGGGTTCATGAAGCAGCCGAGGCAGGAGGAGCTCTTCCACCTGGCAGTCCTCTTATCTGCCACCATTTGGGGCTGCTGTAGGATTGTTGCAAAAAGTATTTCATTAAAAATGAATCTGGATCCCAGCCGTTGTGTTATCTGACTGGTTCACAGGCGGGAGAGCAGTGAGCACAGCCTACAGTCCCCAGTGCCCATGTCTGATCCCTGCTCTTGTCTCCAGGATACTGGAACCCCTACCTGCCAACAAGTGCCACGTTTCCCCAGTGATTCACCCAGGGAATCCACACCTTTGCTGCTACATTGGGCACACGCACAGGACAGAGTCAGGCTTATAAGCATTCAGATCTCCAGCAGCCTGTTATGTCTTCCAAACTGTATCCCTGTAAAAATGAATATAAATTAGGCTCAGCAGGCTGTATAGCTCCCATGAGAAGCTTGCAACTAAAACGTGCCAGTCTTGTGTCAGCCAGCGCCTTCATCACCCGCATCACCTCTTTTGCCAGGGTGCATCCCTGTTCTCCATCATTTTCTACATCCTCCTCTGAGAAGTTTTCAAATCCAACACAAAAGCTGCCTATTGTGGGCCAGCAAAGCCACAAGCAGGCAGCAAAGCCCGAAATAAGGAATAAAATACTTTATGTGGGGGAAAAGTGGAGTAACCCACCCCCTTCATGAATGCCTGGAGCAGGCAGCAGCAGAGCCGACAAGCACCAAGCAGATGCCCCCTAATAGGAGAGCACTGCACCCCAGAGATGGGACCATGCACTCACTTCTCATTTAACGCCCCAACCCCTGTGACTGCAAGGACCAGATGCTTTAATTTATAAAGCAAAACCCATATTTTCTTTCCTTGTGTTTTTGATACTCGGTGAATATTTGATCTTTCACATCTGCTCCATTGGGGCCAGCAGGACTGACATTTTCCTGCTCTGAATGACCCGCTGTGGTTGCCATCCCACAGCACAGATGTGCCAGCACCCATCACACAACCCCTGCTCATGGGAGCCCAAAGCATCGCACATAAACGCAGTGCACGTGCAGAAGCAGACATGCCACCACATGCCAGGCTCACGGAGGCAGAGATCACAAGGGATGCTGAGGAGTGAGCTGTGTGTTCACAACCTGATGGAAACCCAGGGCTCCATCCTCATGGGAAGCACTAGCTCTTCAGAAGCCATTTGCCTTCCGGGTGAAAACAAAACAAACTTTGAAAAATGGAAATGAAGAGGATTTGCTTGGGAATTTCTCTCTGGGAAAGTCATTAATTCATTTCAAAATTTTTCATTTCAAAATTTGTTTTCATTATTTCCCATTATTTTATGACATCAGTAGTAGCGCATAATGTGACCTGTCATATCATGTCAAGTCATGTCATAATATGCATAATAGTAGTAGAAGTGCATAATATTACATGTCATATTGACATAATCAGAATATTCTATTATTATTGACTTTGTCAAACTAATTACAACACAGACAGGAAATACTTTGCTCTAGAAAATAAGATTAAAAAGGCACAAACTATAAAAAAAGTCAGTTCTTTCCCCTTGCAGCCACATTCTCAATGTATTTGTATAAAAACATTTAGACTAGTGTAGTACATCATGCTATGAATTGTTACATATAATTCCATGAAATAATGGAGTAAGAAAAATTGAGTCCAAGTAAAATTACCTGTTTGAAAGTATTTCAGTTTTTCGAAATAAACAATTCTCAACACAAAATTAGCAAATCCTCCTGTATATGAAACCTAAAAGTTCCCCCTATGAAACACCTACATGGAAACAGTCATAGAAACAAAACTTCATGTGCCCAAAGGCAATGAAGCTGGTGAAGGCTCTGAAGCACAAGTCCTGTGAGGAGCTGCTGAGGGAACTGGGGGTGTTCAATCTCTCCTCTTAGGGGAGACCTTCTCATACATTACATTACCTGGAAGGTGGGATTGGTCTCTTCTCCCAAATAACAAAAGAGGAAATGGCCTCATGTTGTGCCATGGGAGGTTTAGATTGGACATTAGGAATAATTTCTCCTGAGAAAGGCGCTGGAACAGGATGCCCAGGGGAGTGATGGAATCACCATCCCTGGAGGCATTTAAAAGATGTGTAGATGTGACACTTAAGAACATGGTTTAGTGGTGGACTTGGCAGTACGGGGTTAATGGTTGGACTCAATCTTAAAGCTTTTTTCCAACCTAACTGTTTCTGTACAGAACAATATTTCAGAGAAGATCCCCCGACAGCTCTGCAGTGTTTGCAGAAGTGCTGTCCCACAGGGTTTGAGGTGCTGCATCACATCCGTGCTGCACCGGCATGCTCATACCCATACCCTGCACACACATGGCCATATCCACCTCTTCAGAACCATCCCCCTCCATGCCTGGGCTCACATTGAGCCCACTGGGATTTCTAATTGACTTGACATGTTATAAATTGCCTAACTTGGCTGTGATTGCTGTGAAGAATGGTACTTTAAAGGACTCAATATCTGTATATCTGCCTTTGATAAACATTGGCTTGCTGAGCTTAGATCTTATTTATTTACCCTTGGAGCAGGTTCATTACTATGTATTAGGTAGATATGACATATTTATGGAAATATGGGGACTCTTTGTGGAATATATTAAGATTAAATAAATCATTGACTAGGTGGTCAAGAACTACAGCAATCCTGATGAATGATTCCCTGATTTTTTTTTGATCCTTGTATAATTTTAAAAGCCATCCCCCTTTGTCTTCCTGGCCTGCAGAATTTCCCACACCATCATTAATGCACACAAATGCAAGGTGTGCACCTTTGCTTGGGAAGAAAACTCCAGGTCCTGTGTGGCCTACACCCTGTATGAAGGAAAAGCACCCGGGTACCAAACCCCATTCCCTGGGAACCTGCTTAGCAAGGTGAGAAATGCTTCCAATTCCTTTATCCCTCATCATCCCATGCACTGTAAGCTGCCACGTGCATCCATTAGCCAATGGATTTACATATCTAATGGCACACAAATTAGTGGTAATTACATTTAAAACAGCTATTTTGATACAAATCAATGAGAGCCACAGCTAATGACATAAATGCTATTTCACATGTCCCTTGGCCTCATTGCAAACACTGGAGGATGCACACACACGCAGCACATACCGCAGTGTAGCAGTGCAATGCCACCAGCAGACTCAAAGCAAAGTAGTTTTCCTGGTGGGATGAAACCAGACTTAAACAGAACAGAGCTACTACAAAAGCTTCACAGCCACTCTCTGACCTGTGGTATTTGAGTTCTTTCCTCCTCTTTCTTCCCAGTCCTGCTCACGTTTTAATATTTGGTATTTGGTAATGGCAATGCTAGCTGCAAAATGAACATGGCATCAGCACATGCAACTATGTGACCCAAAGCATCCCCATCTCTGAGCAGGCAGGGTACCACATCAGCACCAACAGAGGCTGCATCCCAGCACAAACACTTACCCTCATTAGCATCCACGCAGAGCTCACCAGGGCTGGTCCCTCATAATGTGGAGCACTGTGCCCATGCATGGCAGAACCTCAGACTCTTCCTCTTGCATCCCTTTCCTGGCATCTTTATTCCCATTCCATACCACTCCCCATGATGCCCTTGGTCCCACAGAGGTTCCAGGCAGCAAACACAGGACTGAACACAGCAGCAACCAGAGGACCTCTGTAAAGTGTGCATCATGTTTTCCTTTTGGCTCAGGACAGCAAGTAAAAGTCCATAAATATTGAGGAATTCTTAAGGATAGTTAAATAGCAAACTATCTGTTGATAATAAAATTTGCTTGCTTCTCACAAATATCCAATTTTCCTACTATCCAAAGAAAGGAATTGGATGTCTGCTTCCTAAATTGTTTTAATCTCTGGCAAAGAGTGCTTCTGGCAGAGTCCCTCAGCTGGAAAATAGGAAATGAGTCTGAAACAATAGACAAAGTGAGTAATACAGAGCTTAAGATGTCTGATCTTGATCTTGAGAAGTGAAGTTTAAAGAGATTCCTCAATCCACCTGTATGTGGTCACCCTGGGAAGGAAAGTGCCCTTCCTGGGGAGGGCCAGGGATGCTGTGTCAGGTCTGGCAGTGATACACACTCCCACCTGGCTGCCCAGTACAGTGGCAACCTGGAACATGTCTCCCCAGTGAGAGGAATGCAGTGCCTCCTTGTCAGGATGCCTGTGCCACTGGGGACTGACACAGTACCATCAGCTTTAGCAGCTTGCCCAGGCTTTAATACAAGTGATCTCTTTAATTCATCTTCCCACCCCTTATGTGCTGCTCTGACCCTTCAAATACAGACCCTACGTGCCACTGCCAGCAATGGTCAGTGGGTGCTGCTGTACCTGTAACAAACCAACCTGGGTGCTGTGCACCTGCAGCCCTCACCTTCCCTCTGCACCTTCCTCCCCACCTGCACGTCCGTCAAACTGCATCTTTGCTTTACCTTTGTAAAGAGGTTTTCAAACATTTTTCCTCAATAGTCTTAAAGAACCAAGAAACCTTAAAAACCTGGAGGTGAAAATAGTAACCTTCTGCTCATCCCCCTGCAGAGAGACTTTTTGTAACCCTGTTAACAACATCCATGTCACTGTGACACTAATTGAACTTTTCCATGCAAAGAGGCCCCTGTACAAATGTCAGCCCCACACATGGGGATAAATCCTGCAGCAGTCTTCTTCTGAGGCTGGTTTGTATAGAGCAAGGGTCCATAGAGAGACCCACTGGCGAACCACCCTGTGTCACAGGGCAGAGGGATCCTCTGGAGCCTGCATGTGAGTTTTAGACTGGAAAATGCATTTCCAATGGATACCCATTGGATTTTTTCCAATGGATGCGGTATTTATCATCCAAATCTTTCCTGCCAGGACAGTGCTCTCAGCATCGCACACCAGTGCCGTGCTGAGCACTGAAGGAAACGCTCTTTTCCATCGCACTAAGTGAAACAATTCAGACCAGGAAAATCTTGATAAAAGTTTAATTAGGAAAACGGTCTCCATCTGTAACATATCCCCATTCTCCCCATGTATTAACCCTTTTGCCATAAATCTGCCACCCTTGAAGAAACCTGCCTTCCTCACAAAACCTACTCAGGGTTCACATTATTTTAATCAGTTAGAGGGGTTTAATACATTATTGATTTTTAGGAGAATTGAAAAAGCTCCCGTATTAAGTCCAGGTTGCTTATTCTTTCTGTATATGACATTCAGGTACTTGTGAAAAATTATACCAATTATGAAATCAGCCATTTACTGCTTCAAAGTGCAATCAGTTGTCACACTGGAAAGCACTTGCTCCTGAATATTATTAGTTGGGCTATGTGCACAGGAAAGTGCTGAGAGGAAAGACTTTAACCAAAGGGCAATTGCATGAAATTTACTTAGAAATAGCTATTTATCACCCTTGGATTTCCTACTGTTCAAATCCACTGCAGACACTTTATGGAATGAAACAGCCATCTCACCAACGTAACTCAGCCAACTGAGGGGGCTTTTTCCTCACTGACATTAAATGAAAAATTTAGAAGTCATTGTAACAGCTTAAAGATGCATTATCCTTTTTGATGTGCAATTTTAGCTTCATATCAAAAGCCATATAAAATAACCCCCGCACAAACACAAAAAAGGAACTTTAAAAAGTTTTATGACATGTAGTTCATCTTACCTTTTATGCATCTAACAGGCACCGCTTCTCCTGCTGTTCTCAGAGACCATTGCATGATTACCACTATGGGGGAGAAAATATTGCCATAGCAGCAGCAAAACCAGCCGAAGGAAGGATTGGTCTCTGGAGCTTGGGAAATGGAGGGGGAGAAGCTGAGCACCACAACGCCAAGCAAATTCCTCTGAAGCCAGAGCACAGTGGGATTGCGGGAGAGCTGCCCATTAGAGAAGCCTTCAGTTGTGTCACAAACTGCACCATTAATGGGTTTTGCTGCAGGCAGTGAAGTGAGAGGGAACATAAATTAAAGAGGGTACACTCAAAAGGGATTTCTAGCTCGGTGAGGATGTCTTGTCCACTTGGTTTCCAGAGCAGGCATGAACTTTAGAAGGCAAGGTCAGCTTCTCAAAGTAGGAATGGAACTGGTCAGCCTGGGAGCACTGGCGCAGCACCATTAATACGCAGGGCTAACATATTTGATTACTGATAGATGTGACCACCTGGGCAACAGGGGGTATCACAGGGCTAGCACAGCCACCTCACACACCTTGTACACAAGGTGCCGCTTCTTCCTCTTCTAGTTTCTCCAGGTAGAATCCACAATGAGAATGGAAGGTTGTGATTTACACGTTGGAAGCATGGTCAGGTGGACAGTAGGGAGTGTCAATACAGAGCCAGTCACCATGGGAATACAAACAGTGTTCCCACAGGAAAATGGGAAAGCAGCTCTTAACCCACCAGGTCTTGAAGACCTGAGTCAGGAGCACACTGAAAATCCCCATACCTTTGAGTATGCTTGGCTTGTACACAGCAAGAACGCCCAAACCAGCCCAATGGTTAGCAGACAATACAAGATGCTTCCCCACTGCAGGCCTGTCCCAGCTCCTCTCTAGAGAGGGTCAAATCCAGGGATGAAGGAAATACCAAGCCAGAAATAGGCTCCTCTTCCTTCACCTTGCTCCTGCCATGTGGGTTAGAGACCTGCTGGTCCCACCAGTGAGGGCTGGGCATCCACCATTTGTTATCTGAGCTGTGCTGGATGAGCCAAGGGACCACAGGGATCACTTCAGCACACACATCACCGTGCTGCAGCTCACCAAGACAAATCCGAACACACTTCCCACAAGCATGCACACTCCTGGCTGGGGAATTCTCACTCTGTGCATTTCAAAAGCAGCTGAACCTGGTCCCCAAGCATTCAACCCCACTCCCTATGGGGCCTGGGCATGTACTGCCTTCAGTTAAGCAGCCAAACACAGCCACAGACAAGGCTTATGTTACTTGCCAGAGCCAAAATCTGTGCTTCAGAAAACAGGCAACTTCAAAATCATCTTATTCTAGAATTCCAGGTCCCGATGAAGAAAGGAGGTGCTGAAACGAGATACCTCTCCAATATCCTTCAGCATGGCATGGGTGCCTCAGGTGTCTCATAAGCACGTTACAAAATGCACCAATAGTAGTCTTAACAAGTAACAGCAACTGAGATCTAAACAGCCTGCTTTATAGCACAGAAACAGAACACTTGGTGTATTTTAACATAGCAAAAGGGTTGTTATACCACCATTTAATTTAATAAATAGTAAAGTATTTATAAATGAACCATTTCATAAAGTGTTACCAATTTCTCCAGACACAATAATATGATTTGCACAAACGTTTGTCCTTGAGGCAATAGGAATTTTCTTTGCAAATCAATCCTTACAAGGATTGTAATTAGTATCCGTTAAGGCAGCTCACAGTACCTGTAGCTGTATTTCTCCCATAAAAGCCCTGATTGCTGCAAGCTCTCACACAAAGCTAATGACACAGAAGGAAAATGCACACATCGTCTAGACTATTCATTTTAATCAGGCAAGAGTGATTTTTTGTGGCCCATTTGATATGACTTTTACACAAGATACAACCTCGCTCCACAGGGGCTGGCGGAAAAGGTCAACACTGCTGTATAAAAATACATTTAAAGGAGTTTAAGAAAGCAAAAACTCCAGATAAGGACCAGCATTGTGCGGGCAGAGCTGCAGATGTTACGTGCAGCCAGTGATTTCTGAGAAATGTGTAGATCTAGTTTTAGATGCTCAAAAATTAAAAAGGGGCTTATTTTGTCAGCGTCTCGCCTTAGCAATGGGCTGCAGATGAGAATGTGTGATGGCACATGTGCGAGTTAAGGTGGGTTAGAGCAGATACCACTCCTTTAGGAAAGGTTTTACACCCAAAAGCGAGCACCCAGCTGGAAACCAAGAACTGGCTTTGCCCAATACCCTGCGTTGAAGCACAACCACATTTATGAACAGCTTGTGGTGCCCAGAGGATCCGGATTGTGATGAGGACCAGGACACAGGGCTCACCACACTTGGGGCTGCCAGCAGAAGAGCAACCCCAGCCCAGTGCTGCCTGCCCATTGGCACACAGCACACAGCCACACCAGCTCCCTTGTGCTTAAATCAGTGTTTTCCAGACTCAGTCATTATTACACACTGCTCCAAAGTGGTGCTTTGCTGGGTGCAGTTTAGCTAATACCGCTCTTGATGATGCATGCTAGTGCAAAACACAATTAGAGACCCTCCCGTGGCCAGCAGGAATAACACAAGCCATCCCCATGGAGCCAGAGCTGCTCTGAACAGCAGCACACAAAGGCAGCCGTACAGTCTCCTGCTTCTCCTGGTTATCACACTCCTATGCCAGGGAATCCCGCACACACAGCACCGAGAGACACAAAAGCCACCATCCAGGGGTGTCTACTCTGGGGCATCCCACCCATGGATGCTCCACACCTCTGCTGGTGGCTATCACAGGACACTGGCACTCCTCAGCACAGCCACATCCTCCTGATAGCAGCTCTGATCCAAGCCACATATGGAACAGGAGCCTTTGGACCCCTTGAACACAGGCCTGAATCAGGGGGTTCACCTGGAGCACCCCAGTGCTTTCTGCTGCACTCTAAGTGCCACCAAACAACACAGCAGGACCAGGATTTTTCTGTGAACAGGGTCTAAAATTCCAGGTCTAGGTCCAAGTTCCTGCATTAACCATCCCATTCATCGTCATTACCCACAGGCACTTCACCTGCTGCCCCAAAGACAGCGGCAGGGGAAGGGACTGATGCACTTTGTTCCTTCCTCCTTCCAAAGGAGGGGAGGCCAGGCATCAGTAAGATCATTGATCTGGAGCACTTGCCTGTCCTCCTGAACAAGAAGGAAGTTAATTCATCACAGGATGGAGAAAACCCATATTTAAATTCCTTGGTTCCTTAATTAACGGGAACTTCACAATGTTTGGCTAAACCTTGCTCCAAGGACCCAACTGCAGTGGTTCAAACACCCAGCTCAGCTGTTCAGGGTTCAGAGCAACCCCTGACACAATGGTGCTGACGACAGATCACTCTGGCATCCTTGTGCAGCCCCTTTGGGAGCTGGACCTAACACCCACCATGGGGTGGAGAACCAGCCCCTGCACCCACATCCCACATCTGCAGATGCTGCTGTGCCGGGGAGCCCAGAGAGCAAGAACAGCCAAGTCCATCACAAACCTGGCTGCAAGGAGAGCTCCTTGGCACTCTCCAAGAGGCGCAAGGGGAAGATTAATCTTAATAATCACTGTTCTCAGCTTGGCCCATGCTCAGGCCTCCCCTGCACAGGTCTCCCACATCCCCATCTCCTCCCATGCAGGGCTGCACTGAGCCCAGCCTGCAGGGGAAACCCTGCATCCTGGCTGCCAGGCTCAGCAGCGCCTTGAGGCTTTTCCCCTCCTGTCCACAAAGTAAATGAAGTGGGGAGAGTAATACAGTGTGCTCTCAGCACGGCTGACAAGCCTGTGCCTCTCCCGGAGCCGCTGCGCTGGTATTAAACAGACAAGACAAGCTTGCAGTCAGTTATCGGCCAAAAATATAATGAAGGAACAGGGCGGCAGAGCAAAGCCGAGTCACCCCGACCAGCCAAGTGGAGAATTGAATTTCTCACCAGCAGCAAAGCATCTCCGCGCTGCGGCCTCGCACCGCACCAACAGCTCTGACCCAGCGGCCACAGCAGCTCACTCCATCGCCACAGGGCTGGGAAGGGGATGCCCCAGTCTCATTTACTAGAGCAGGGTTTGGTCACCACAGCAAAGTGCTCAGCACAGCACAGGGCGTCAGAGGGGTGACATTTACCCATCGCTGCACAGCAGCAGCCTGGGCGAAGCACAAAGCAGTGTGCAGGAGACAGGGGCTTGGGAAGTGCTTTCGACCCAGCAGCAAAGCAGCCAAGGGTAGAGAGATCCCAGCCCTGGCAGCATGGGTCCAGCCAGAGCAGCCATGCAGCTACTGGGGTGCACCAGGGAGCTGGGGACCCTGTGCCCCCAGCGAGAAGTAGGCATCTTGGCCCTCAAGCCTCAGGCACTCCTTAAGTTTTCCAAGAGGGGGAGAGTTTACAGGAAACTAAACTGTAAAGAGATCTTGATGCCAGCAGAGCTGCCTGGACCCATTTTGGGCTCCTTCCATTTGAGTCCTTTTCCATCCCTTTGTTTCCAAAAGAACACTTCTGGAACTCTTCCCTGGTGTTAGTGCTCTGCACTCAGTGTCACAGGCAACTCTGGAAGAACAGTCAGTGGTTTGGGACAGCCCCAAACACAAAACACACACAGAAGCAGCGGGAATAAATCAGCTGCCAGAGAGAGCAAACATGGTGCAGGTTAACGTAAAGGTACCCAGCTCTTTAGCTACTCATCCTGGGGCAGAAATAGGGGCTGAGCTGTAAAGCAGGCTTCAATCTCAGCCCCTGTTCCAGCATGTGCTACGGAACTTATTCTCTGAGGGTTTTTTTCATTCACATTATCACAACTGAGAAAACCTACAAAACCCCTTATCACACAGTGACCCTGGGGTACCACAGCTTGGCCGAATACACGTATTTCTGGGCTGATACAAAAATTTCAGACCCTTTTTGGGAAGCATTTTGAAGTTCATGTCAGTGAAAGAGGAAGAGGCAGGACACTCCGAGCATGATAGATCCTTTAAAAGATATAGCTGGAGTCCATAACTTTAGCTAGCTAAGATTTGCATGGCCAGCAGCTCATCAGGACCGGGTCCCACTGCATCCACAGCAGCAGCCCAAGAGCTGCAGCCAACCTAGGGGTCTTCCTCCTTGCAGACCACAGAGCAATCCCCATGCTGACTGCCCGGGGTGCTGACACCAGGACACTGCTCCCCACACCACAGAGGAGCTTTGCTCCTTGCAGCGCTGTGACAGCACCTGGGCAAAGCGACACGGTAACAAATGGGCTGAACCAGCCAGTTTTTGCCTGCGAGAAATCATGCAACGATTTTCGGCTCCGCACAAACCTTTACAGCCAAGTTATAAACTCCTGTAAAGTGCTGACAGACCCTTCGCTCCAGCAGTGCTAGCAGGTGCCCCGTAATGAATGTGCTGAATGACCTACCAAGCAAAGTTATTGAGGCAAAAAGCACCACGGTCATTCAACAAACAATTAGAGAGTGTCCTGGTGGGGACAGCATACTAACAAGGGAAGGAGCCCAGAAAAGCTGAGTAAGCATCCTGCCTGTCCCCCCCAAATTCCTCCTCTTTTCCATCCTGGGCTCTGATCTATAGCATGACTCACCAGAGCTCCAATAAAGCTTTAGAGATTGTTATGCTAAATGAGAAAAAAAAGGAAGTAATTGCCTTTCCCCCATCTAGAACTCCCAATATATAACTTGGAGAAATATAATTAGCTGCTAAATTCAAAGATGCATTGGAGTTTTTTTGCAATGGGCATTGAGACCCTGTATTAAAGAAAGCTAAAAGAAAAATGATACACTCCTCCTTGTAAATGGAATAAGACTTAAAGGTTTTAATTAGGATTCACTATGCATCTGCAGCCAGGAAAAGGGGAAAAACACCCTCATAGTATCTTACTGTTTGAAAAACACATATTGGGGAAGAAGCTTTCTGCAAAAATAATTAAGGAGAGTGACACATTTTTGTCTTTGAGCAGTAATTATCTATTATTAAAAATAAGCTGCTCTTTTTACTCCATTTAAAATTAAATTACTTCAAACAAAGAAAGATCTGTGCAAGGAGGACCAGAGGCGCACGCTTCTTTGGGGTGGGGGAATCAGTCACACAGGAAAGTTCTGAGGAAAATCTGGAACACATCCTGCACAAAGGGGAAGAGCACCTGCCTGCAGTGGTCCTTGGAGTCCCTGCAGGGTGGGTACTGGGGTTCTCAGAGCCTCTTGCTTAGCAATGGGGCTCCCACAATGTCTTCCCATGGGAATAGCCTTCTTTCCCTAGACAATTACCTGCGTGTCAAAACCAGGCAGAGGAAGAGCTACAAGAGGCAGAGGAAGAGCTACAAGACAGTGCTATTTCAGCCAACTGGGACAAGAGGACAGAGACTCATTTTCCTTTGTAAGAAACCAGAATAAGCCTCATGCAGGGCTGCCCACATCCCAGGGCATGGCTCAACTGCTCATCAACAAGAGCAGAGCTGCAGGCTCAGCCCACACTTCCCTTGGTCTAGCACACCAGACATCCCTACTGGTTGGGTTACCTGCACCCTCCTCAAGGCCATAGCTAAGAGAAGACTTGTAATCTTTCGGGGTACACCACAGCAGAGTAAGGTGAAACCCATGCTAGAGAACTACCAGACAGAAACAAGATTAAGTATTGCTTAGTATTTAAGCCTCCAGTCACCAGAAAGCATCCTATACCTGGTTCAAAGCAGTCCCTCCACATCCAGAAAGTTTCATAACTGGAAAAAGGGCTTCCCAAAACAACAGACAACATTTAAGAAGCTGATTTCCAACTTACCTTTTCCTAGTGCTACAGACACTGAGCAGGAACCCAAAGCAAGGAGCCCAACAACTCCAATCCCACACCCAGCATCCCACCCAAAGGTGAGATATACTCATCATTAACTTCAGGTGAGGGTGTCCTGGGGCCTCTTATCTCAGAGGCCCCGCCCCATTGCAGGGGTGGAGGGGAACCTGCTGCCCATAAATGTGGGGCTCAGAGCATCTTATGTTTTCTTTGTGCAGTTGGGACTGTGCTGGAGGCTGCTCTGCACTGGTATGTAATGCAGGAAGCCTGCAGTGTCTCCTGGGTTTGTGTTTTGTTTCTGGGGGGTGTGATGTCTATCTGATGCTTTGTAGATGGTCTTTTTGCCTTTCTGTTCTCTGTGCTGTGTGGAAAAAGCTCAATTAATCTCCTGTAGAGCATCAAAGTTTGTCTAACCTGGATTTTTTGACTGCTCTGTGGATCTGAGTGAAGTTGTTGAAAAACATTCCTATAAAAGGTGGATGTATTCCTATAAAAGGTGGATGTATTCCTATAAAAGGTGGATGTGGTTGGGATTTCAGGAGTTGTGTTCAGAGCAATTTTCAGGAGAGCTCAAACACACCTGTGTTTAGGAGGGAAAAGACTCGGGGTTTTGTATGGGAATTATTCACTCTCTGAGCTCCTGTACTACTGTAGTCTTGCTCCTCCTTGCACTGTGCACAGACAAAGCTATAGAGCAAAACTTGTTTTCTTCCTGCTGCCTGGCTTTTAATAAATCCTTTCCCTTTTAGACTCTGTGTAGGCTAATTCTTGATTTACTGCCTAGGCTTTAATAGCTGGAGCACATCAGTCATCTGAGCACTAGCAGGCTTGACTCAAGGAGCAGAGAAGCACTGATGCTTTCCCTGAGCCAGGCATGATGCTTTGAACCACTGACTTGCAGAGGTTTTCTGTGTCTACATCAGGAGAAGCAGAAAATGCTTCTGTTGCTTGGCTTCCTCATGACTAAGCTGGGAGTGCTGAAGTGTTACTTATGGTTTCTATTCAGACCTGGAAAAGGGACTCAATTTTAGGGAGCAGCTAAGCTTGTTTGCTGGGGAGGGAGAGGGTGCTTGTGAGAACTCACCTGTGTGTGGCCAATGACAAAGCTGCCAGCTCAATAATGAATTGGTATTGGGAAGCCTAAGCCAAAGTGTCCTCAATGTGAGGAGCTTGCAAGAGGTGGGCAGGCTCTCCCTGTGTCCTCCTGCCCTGGGACAGCCCCAGTGTCCCTATGGAAGAGGCTGAGCTGTGTTGGGCAGGGTCACAGGAGTTCTGGTGCTAATGGATGGCTTATTCTTGGATGCTGTGGATTATAATTTGTTGTGTGTTTGGCCACTTGTTGGACTGGGCCTTGATGAGTTGTTGATAAATTGCGATACAGGATGTTCCCTGTGATGAATTTCTGTGGTGCAAACTGACCATCTGAGCCCCTGCAGGCAGGGGTGAGGCCATGCAGGGAGAAAGAAGGGCTGGGAATATTTGTGGGGAGGAGGAAAGTTGCTGGCTTTTAGCAATCCTTTTCAAAGAGAATTCCAGGTACGCATTTTCGACTGTGGGATAATGAATTCCTGCTTGATGTGTTCATTGTGTAATGCTAACCACGAGCTCATCTCTAATCTGAGCTACGCAGGAGCTCATCACCGCATAGCTTGAGAAATCCTTTATTGTATATGCATGGGCAAGCACATTATAAATACAGGACTTGGCAATAACTCCCAGCCTGCCTGACAGCCTGCAGAGGGGCTGGGTGTGCTGTGCTGCGTGAAGGCAGCTCCTCACCATGGGGTGGAGTTGTGGGAGCTGGTGGGGGGGAGCTTCTGATGGCTTTACCTATCCTAATGCAGCACAGACCGTTTTCTGCACAAGCCTGGTTTTGTTCGGGGTTCTGTTACAGAGCAAAATGAAGAGGAGGGTTTATTTAATAAGAAATCCTCGTATTAGCTTTTAAATGCTATTCTCCTGCTTGTCCTTGTGCATCTCAAACTTGAGATTTCTCTGGTCTGGCTCCTTGGCTGTGGTTCTATGGAGCGGTGCTGTTTGGAGCACCTTTACCTCAGGCTGCTTTGCTCTTTGTGCTGCTCACCCCTGGGGAGCAATGTGTTGTCACAACTCAGCACTGCCTATGAAAGACCTTCAGACATCCCAAATCCACTCTGGTTCCCACTGTTTCCAGCAGAACTGTTCAGAGCCATTTAGCACTGTGGAATGAGCTGCTGGAAACACAGGGGCTGACTGCTGAGTGCTTGTAGAATCAAGCTTAATTGCGAGCCCAAATGCATTCATTAGGCTTGCTCTCCACCACCACAATGCCTGTGCAAGGTGTCAAGCTTGTGTTAGCTGTTGGAGATGCAGTGGGGTTGTGGAGGTGTGCAGGGCCTGTGTGTGGTGGTGTGACAGGCTCTCAGAAGTGCTCTGTGCATCTGCTTTATCCCCACTAACCAGGGTATGACAACACAAGCAGATGCTGAAGTGCAAGGGGGTGGTTAGGAGGGACAGACTGGCACAAGGGCTCTGCTACCCAGCTCTAGCAGAGCTTCCCATGCCAGCCTCTGCTTTTAACACTTCTATGGCTCTGCTTGGTGTTAAGTGATTTTATTTGTTTCTCTTAACTGCCCTTGATTAACACCATGACCTCTTTTCTCATGATTCCTATCTCATTACCTGTGTGGAGATGGGGTGGAGCAAGGCAGGAGTCAGTGGCTGCAGTGCTCATGTGTCTGATACTCTTCTAGTGGCTGTTAGGCCCCTTTGATCAACATGAAAAGAAGAGCAGGAGAAATGCTCAGGTTGTTCCACCTTGTCCACATCACGTCCTATAGCTGACCCTGAAACTGGAATGGTGGATCCATACCAGATCTGGGTGAGGCAAGTAACAGCATGCAAGGGTGGCTGGGGATGCTGCAGGGCAGCAGTGCCTCAGGCTGGTCCTTGGCTGGTAGATGGGCACCAGCCCCATCAGCCATGGCTTGGGATCCTTTCACAGCACCTCCAGAAATAACTCGTGGACACGGCAGTGTGGCTGAGTGGCTCCCTGAAGGAGACCTTGCACCCATGCAGTGGGAAACTGGTCCCCAGCAGCACTGGTGAGGAGCTGTGGCCCATTTACGTGCCTGGTGTGGAGGACACAACGCTGAGCACTGGTAACACAATTTATTTCCACTAGTGAGTGAATTGCCCATAATTCATGACAAGCAGAGCCTCGAGTGATGATGAAGGTCAGCCCATCAGATCTGGAAATAAATTGTATCCTATTACAGCCTCCTATTAGGGCTCTATTTATAGCAGGGCTTGCAAACTCCTGGAAGTTTGGAGGGTTTTTTTGGTGGGGTTTTTGCTTTTAGGTTGGCTGGTGAGGGTATAAGGACATGAAAAATTTGGATGCAGAACAAACACTTATGCTGCTGATATAAACCAGTTCTACTGCAGAGAGATGCTGGGTCTTGGGCTGACAGGGGGGATTTCTGGGGTCTCAGGGCTGGAGGCAGTGCTTGGGCAGCCAAGGGACAGGGGTAAGTGGACAGAAACCTGGCTGTTTTGGTGAGGTTTGCTATCTGTTCTAAGGAATACTTTTATGCTTTTACACTGTCAGCACAGTTATTTCTGCAGACAGAAAAGCAGTGCCTTTCTCCTGTATTTACCCCTTCTATTTACCATGCCACTGTAATCCCCAATTGATAGATAATGTGCAGGATGTGGTTTGCCATGGAAACGGAGCCCTAGTTCTTTACATTTTTTAAAAAGATTAATATTTCTTAGCTTGGTTTCATTATTCTGATATTAAAAATCATTAGTTATGTACCATTTTATGGCCTTCCCAGGCCATAATATGCCCTTTTGTGCACAAGCTTTCCCATAGGCGAAATAAAGCAACCCACCTGGGACTGGCAGAGCACAGTGGTGGTACCTTGGCTGCAAAGTCTTTGCTTTCCAGCATCTCTGGCTATCACATCAGATCACTATCTGCCACGTTGGTGATTCTGATAACACTCTGGATGAATTAAAAATGGAGCTGCTTCTAAAACCCTGTGTATGTGTATGCAAGTTCCCTTGCCTCCCAATTTGAATCCCAGTTCTAGAGGCAGTAAGATCTTCTTTCAAAGCCCATCAGATACGAGGGAACCTCACCACTGGCAAATGGGTGAAGTTACAGATTTTCATGTCCTCTATTTCCTTGAAAAAATAGTTGAACTTCCAAAGGATTTGGGACAGAGGGAAACTGCTGTGAATTAAATTGCCTTCTTCTATTGAAGAGCATGGGTTTAGGTGAAGTGCGGCTGCTTGCTAGGAAGTGAAGCTGTTGCTTTCAACAAATGACTGCTCTAATCTGGATGCCTATGGAGGGGAAGTGTGCTTAATTGTGCAAGAGTCCCAGCTCTGTGCTCAGGGGTAGGTGCAGAGCTGGATGTAATTGCTTGCTCAGGTTAAGAGGGGTGATTCACTCATGGTGGAAGCTTAGTTCCTTATAGGTGAAATAAGAAAAACAGCTGTCTTTTAAAAGTCATAAATCTGTACAGTAAAAGGGTTGGGCAAACCCCATATTTTACTGGTTTTGCTGTCAGAAACACAAAGAATTAAGGGCCATGTGACTTGGTAATTGCTGTGGACTTTTTTCTGACAATAAACATTAAACTTAAAACTGTATTAAAATCATTTGACAATTTTTATGCTTTAACAGCTGAGAGTGAATAATGTTTTTTGCATATAAAATACTTTCTCTTGTCAGCCTATAAAACTGTCAGAAATAAATTCATCAAAAAAAGGTTCTATAATTAAAAGTCACTTCTTTTCTATCTCTAGTTTAGTTGGAATTATTTGTTTGTCACTTTTCCAGGGCTAAATTACTGCATTCAGAGACAACTTTCTTCAAGACTATTATGAACTGTATGATTCTTACAAAAGGAGCCCAACTTTCTCTTCTAATGTATCAACTCAATATCGCTTTTCAGCACGTACTTTTAGATGGTACTGTTTCTAAAGAGCTATTTTCCTCTGAAGATGAACAGGAGCGGTAATGGAAAGTATCCAAATGTAGAAATGGTATTTTTATTATTGAGCTGCAGATAATTTATGGAAAACTGCTGAATTAATTTTTTAGCAAAGTAAATTGTTAGCACTTCAGATTGTAAATTCTCTCAAAGTCGGAGCTGTACAGGTGTGTTAAAGCTAAAGGAGCAATATTGATCTTTATAGTAATCAAAGGAGGGTGTCAGCCTCCTGAGGGAGAGCTGAGGATGATTTGGTCCTGACCC